CGCCACCTCGCAATGACAACTGCGTTTGGCCTACTTTTCACTCCGATGCCGGCACAAACAGAAACATGCTTAAGCAACGCCCTGGAGATGGCGAGTATCTCACTGGAAGAACGGGTCTCCTATGATCTCTTACATTTTCCTAGTTCAAGAGTCATTTTCCAACACCGCAAGAGTCCTGCTAGTTCTGCAAGTATGTGAGCTATCAGGTGCTGAATTCTCTGTAGTATCTAGTCATAGGCTCGCTGCACGAGTTGGACGTCTCAAGAGCTTTATTTACTCTGCCACTTGAGGCGAGACGCAAAAGCATCTCGAGGCAGTTTGACAGTTGCAACAGTGCTACCGCTCAGTGCCAGAACTTCAATTTCCTTGACATGGTGCCAAGAAAAACCATCTGAAGCGAACAGTTCAGCAAAACTCTCAATGCATCAACACACTGCAAAGGGCTGTGGGGTGAGAGGCTTGGCCTTGGCAAACGTCCTTCATATGCCCTGTAATATGTGTTCAGATTCATAGGCATTCCCTGAAACCTTACCCCAATTATTCGCATTATTACCAAAAGCTGCTTAGTGAGGTTCCAAATCGTCATCGGACTGCGCCATTTCCCAGTGTTGTCCCGGCTCGAGCCCAAATGCAACTTCAAGCAAAGCAAGCGATTCTGAATCCAATCCTGCCTGTCAACTTCAATCTGTCAACTTCAGTGACCATGGCTGGTTGATCCTGATTAGTGCACAAGTGAGCTCAGCACTGATCTGCAGGCAAAGCCTTGCTCGCTGCGCCACAAGAGCCACAGCCCTTCTTGGGATCTTTCGGTTTTTTCGGATTTTGTCTTCCTTCTGGATATCGTTTTTTGGCGTCGCTGCTGTCACAGCCTGTCGCTGTTGAGGGGGAACTGGTGAGGATCTAGAGGTGTCTGGAGTGCGACAAACAGCTGATTTGACAGGAACAACCACGATCATCTACCAATGATCACGCCGTCGAATTCCATCAAATTCCAACTTGTCAGTACGCACAGCTCATCAGGCGAAGGGCGAACTCCCAACTGTCTGCATTGGCTGGCATGGAGGAGCTAAAACATTCCATGCCTCGTGTGTAAGGCTCTGAATGTAGTAGTAGTTGACCCTGAGCAAAACATAACAGACCTGTGAGGAAAGCCAAGAAGCCATGAAGTTCACTGATATGGCCATATATATATATAATTATATATATATATATTAATCATCATGAATCTCGACGGAAAGCTCATGATGCATCATTGCATCGCTGCATCGCAGCTGAATGTCAAAAGTTAAAGCATTCTCCAAGCCAGGCACAACTCCTTCATGCGTGACTTCAGCATGTACTTGGAAGGCAATATGCGAATCAAGACCTTGGACTCATGGCAGGCTCACAATACCATCAGCAAAACACGTCCCGGAAGATCATATGGAATAATTATAGATGAATAGTATATAGATAGGTAAAAAATGGTAAAAGCCTTCAACGTCTGAACCATGTTCGTTGAGTTCGCCAAAAGCCTTTCACGCAATTTCAGTCTCAGAAAAATTGTGTTTCAGTGGCTGCTTTGAATCTGCTGCCGAGTTGCCTCTAACCAGTTCCAACGTGTGTTGAACTGCAACGCCTATCAGCACCAACCCCGAGGATATCCGAGGATTCTTTTGTGGGAGAGACGAAATATCCCAATTTGTTATAGCAGCTATAGCAGCTATAGCAGCTATAGCATGCTTCAAATCAACTTCACCTCAACTTCAGCACCAGCGGAAGCCAAGCCTCGTCGGGGCTACAGCAAGCGATTAGTTCTCTTGCAGTGATCCCATCTGCCTTGGACGAGGGAAATCCATGGGGCTTGACTCAACATGGGAACGGACGGGGGTTCTAGAGATTGGTGAAGGACGAGCTCAGCTCCAGACCCAAGGAACATGTGTGAGCTTCAAACAGTCCAAGTGATCCCCCGATCCTCATGTCGTGTCAGTAGTTTCTCTCCGTTCAAGAAGGGCACACGAACACGGACTGATGTTGCAAGTTGCGACTTTGTCACTGCCAACTCTTGCCTGTCACTCAATGAGACTATGGATTCACGATTCATGCCATTCATGCCCAATCTGAGCAGGCCTGCACTTGTAGTGCTGTCGGAAAGAAGTTGCACTTCGCGCATCTTGAGCTCCTGTGGGCACCAGGGGAGGAGAACAGTTCCTACAAGCAGATACACTGTTGCTGAACTCCCACAATGCCTTGGATCTTTTCCAATCTTTCCATGATTTGGGCCAAAACATCATGTCACCATGCAGTTTCCCTCTGAAAATCTAACACGGCACCTCTGCCACCTGGTCGAAAAAGGGCCGCAGCACTCGCAGCTGTTGCGGCGTCAGCTCCTTAGTTCTTTTTCGCAACTTTTCAACAATTTGCACATGTTTGCAGCCTGCTCATGCTTAATTATATAACATTCCTAGCGCGTGCATTTCACATTGTCTATATTCTTCTATTACATCTCCCACTTTTTCTTTTGCTGCAGAGATCAACAGGGCAGGTTGCTCAAATTTCAGGGTCATTTGCTCTGCTGAGTATCCTGAAGCTCGCCTTGAGTATCAGGAAAAGAAACCCACGTCTTTCCATCTACCTCGCAGGAAAGTGCTGTTTCCACTGATCAGGAACCGAGAGTGTAACTTTGCTGCATATTTCTACAACATTCTGCCATGGACCCAAACTGTGCCTGCGAAAGCAACACTCCAGCATTCTGAAGAAGTATCCGTTTGTCCTGAAACAAAACACAGGGGTACTCGTACAACCAATATTAAAAACCTACAAGCCGGAGGCACACCCTGGGTAGTTGCAAAAGGTTAGTCCTAAATACAAAGTTCAGAAAATTCAGACTACTTCCTCACTTCACTACCCTTGACTAGCTTGACTGTACCAAATCAGGTTGAGACACCCCTGTACTGTATTTCCTCCGAGATGTCGCCATCGTTGACCACCGTGCGAAAAAGTTCTCGCATGCAAAGGATGGAAGCCTGACCCAACCTCATACAGTACCAGCAAAGACTCTTAGGAAACACACCAAATTCAATCAATGCTTGCAAGCCTTGAGTGTGCCAGTGCTTTGTGGAAAGTATCAGCACGTTGAATCGTACATTTGCTCTTTGGTTTGTCCAACTCCGTTCCGTTCAATATGAATAATGTAAATAAAGTGTATGCGTATATATGGTCCAGTGTTTCAACCCCTCCGGCCATGGTCATGGGTCACCCGTAGTACTGTCCCCCTCCACCCCTGTGGTGTGGTGGGGGTGTGGTGCTCCTCCCCCTGTTTTTGTTTTGGACTCGGCCCTACCAGGGCATAGCATTAGTGCTGAGCACAGCTTATGTACGCTGTCAAGGCCCAAGAGAGAGATATAGAGGTATAGTTTGTAGCCTACTCGCTGCACTGACTGGCTATTGGCCGGCAGAGGAAAACTAGTGCTTGCAGCCTGGGAAGACGCCCTAGCGGATCCTATCAGGACGCTATTGCCCCTCTTCAAGTGGTAGCGGAGCTGTGATTCTTCATTGAAGGTGAGCTCAGGTAGAGCCCAATATGGCAAGCCATGGATGGAATCAATATGGCTCCTATGCAATGAGAAGAGCACCCCAACAACCAGCAATTCACATGACTCAGCAGATGACCACGAAGGTAGCCCCTGCCTATGATGGAAGGACCAGTTTCTTCGCTGTCGAAGATGCAATGGATGATTGGTGTGACATTACAGAGTTGGAACCTGCAAAACGCGGACATGCATTGAGGAACAGATTAGAAGGTGAAGCATCTCAGTACAAAAGACTACTGAACAGAGAGTTGTTGAGAGACCCAAATGACGGTGTGAACTATTTCAAAAGGTTCTTGCGACCACATTTCATCAAGGGAGCACAATTGAGCCCAAGCAGTGTTCTTGTATCGATTCATGCAGTTCATGAAACACAACAGAGGTACGATGGATTTGCACAAGTGGATGACTAGATTTCAACTTACTGGAAATAGACTTATTGAGCCTTGGATGGATCTCTTACCAGATTTGGAGACCAACAGTCCAGAAGTAATTGCATATATTGCACGACCTCGTCAAGAACATGAAGCTCGACAAGCTGAACTTGCAGGCAGATGAACTGGCATTGGCAGCATTTCTACAACTCAACGCAGACAGAAGAACACAACAGAGTATGGCGTTTCCCTTGGGTGACAACTTGTCAGCATTGAATGTTGTAAGTCTGGAAGATTTGACGCGAGATCAGAGAAACACACTCACAAGTATCATGACACATCGTGGAAGAACATTGTATATATAATATCAGCACAATGTGCAAGAACTCAGAGACCTATTCTTGGAAATGTTTTGCACTACGAGAACAGCAGTTGACAATCTGCGGGAGCAGGGAGGTTCACCAATCCAACCACTAGACAAAGTCCCCCACATGGGATCGCCAGGAAACAGACAATGAGGAAGGATGGATGAAGGTTCGCCAATCCCAATGGCGAAGGCACGGATGAAAGTGGCTCCCGAAGTCACAGCTGCAAACGTGGGCCTGTTTTCTCTGCCAAGGCTCAAGCGCTGCGGGTGATTGCAGCGGATGTCACATGTACAAACGACCTATGAGGCAACCTGTCATGTCTTTCGCACCAGCCAAATTATTTCCTTGGCTCAATACAATCAAGGTTATCCAGCTTCGAGTCAGCATCGACTTGATGTTCTGGCATGTAAAATACAGGGACCTTGTCTTCATCTTCGAGCACGTGAATCAGTTGATCAATTGACAGATGAAGCCGCGAAACGGTTAGTAGATGACTTTCAGACTCTTTCTATTTTTCTCACTGACTAGTCCTTCAGTGTCTTGCATCACGGTATTTGGGAGCTGGCATGGTTGACCAACCGTCTTTGGACAAGGACCATCCCTATCGATCCTCACCATAATTTTCCTTGATGTTTTGGAACTTAGGAAATTGGTGTAGGTCACGTTTCAACAAATGTCCGCTGCCTGAGAAGCTTCAAAGGTTTGAACCGCATATCAAGTATGAAATTGACCGTGACCATGAGAAGATAGGGGACAAGCCGCAGTTCAACAACTACTTTATCAACGTTGTCAAGAATCTTGGGGCGCATGTATTTAATATGTGAATTGCGAGGCGTAAAGCCTCTATCCTTACACGTCCTTACTTGAAGAGAAGCAAGTCAAGACATGCTTCAATGATTATTGTGACTTTATGGTTGCTGCTCGTGCGGGAAGGGACGGATATGTTCGACAAATTTCTGGTTACAAAACTGGTGAAGATGACACACGTGCCAGATACGTATCATGGGCAATATTTGAGATTTTGTGGGGAACAGCTTTGAACAGAGACACCGAAGAAGAGGAGCCCCCCACTCGAGCAAGGATGTCCATGTGTCGTGTGTGCGTGTGTGTGTGTGTGTCTATCACGTCGGACAAGAAAATATTTCCAAGCCGCAAGGAGTACCCGCTTCCAAGTTGATATGATCGCAGGCGACGGAAACAAAGCTTGCAACTCCGAAAGCCGGAGGTTGTGCTACATATGAAGTCAGCTTGCTTCAGTTTTGGATCGGCTGTATGATTCATACAGCCACCCAGGCGAGGATCAAGAATTACGGAAAGGCACCGGCCGTTAGGGTTAAACACTTTATGTCTTGTTCCTACAAGGACCTTTACATTCTTGGCGAAAACCCTCAGAGGAGTCAAAGCGGAAACTTATACTCCTGAACTGGCCAAGAAAACTGAGAGTGTTGGCGACTGTTGCATGAAGTCTACATGTGAATGGGGACACGCAAGATTAGCTTTTGAGGAGGACGTCAATGATTTTGATGATCAAGACCACATGGATTTTGTTGGAGAATTTTCCTTTTCAGTCAATGAAACCTGTTTATCTTGTGACCACAACATCTTCATGGTTGCCCCAACGGACACTGATGCGCACAACCCGCTTCTTGCTCATTTACAGCCTTCTGACATGAGATGGAAGGAAAAACATGCCTATGCTCATCCAGCCAAGAAGATTCAACGAAAGGAAAGAAGGAAGGATATTCAGAAATCGAACAAGCGCAAGGGTCAAGGCTTTGGTGATGGTCCTTTACTGGACGAATCATGGAACAACCGGGTGGTAGACCAACGTGGGCACAAGACTCCAACACTGGCTATGGGGACTCCTCAGCTTTGTCAACAAGGCAATGGAGATCGAAGAAATGACGAGCGTATACTTCTAGAAGGAGAAGATAACACAAGATGATTTTGTTCTGTGCAGTTTTCCTGTGAGTTGATTTCCTTTTGCACAAAATGGTATATACCCTTACAAGAAAAATAATCCTTTCCCCCTATTACTAAACCCCCCCAAAAATTAAAAACTATCTATAGGGTCCATCTCTAATTTCGGTATTTTCAGATTGGCCAATTTGACTTTCAATTGCCCCCCTTTAGAAAACAATTTAAAAATAAAGCTAGCACTTGTGTGTTTCGCCCCCTAATAATAAAAACTAGTCAGCCCCGGGGTTTTATTATTAGGGTCCGTCCGAAAATGTTTAGTTTTTTTCATATTAGAGCTTTTAATTTATTAATCTGGGCCCGCTTCGGAAACTAATTGTTGGCAATATTTTAATCGCGCTATACAAGGAAATTTAATTGATTTTGAAAGCGGGACAAACGATTTTTTTTTTAAGGTTTTAAATTTATTAATAGGGTCCGCTTCGAAATCCAATTTGTGGCAATATCTTAATTGCGTTATACAAGGAAATTTAATTGTTTTGAAATCGATCAAACTAGTTCTTATTACCAGTAGTACCGCACAAGGCGGTGGCGGAAGTTTCAAAAATAGGAAACCTATAGGAAAGGTTGGTTGTTGTGAATCACGGATGGCAGAGCGAAGCCACTGATGGATCGAAAGGTGATTGATGTCTCCTCTCTTTCTCTCTCTTTCTCTGACTATATCTACCTACCTACCTATCTATCTACCTATGTATCTATGTATCTATGTATCTATCGATCGATCTATCGATCTATCGATCTATCTATCGATCTATCTATCTATCTTTCTATCTATCTATCTATCTAATCTATCTGATTGTCTATCTATCTATCTATCTATCTATCCATCCATCTATCTATCCATTTATCTATCTGTCTATCTGTCTACCTATTTGTCTATCTATCTATCTATCTATCTATTTACCTATCAATCTATCTATCAATCTATCTATCTATCAATCTATCTATCTATCTATCTTATCTTATCTTATCTTATCTATCTATCTATGTATCCATCTATCTATCTTTCTATCTACCTATCTATCTATCTATCCATCCATCCATCTATCTATCTATCCATTTGTCTATCTGTCTATCTGTCTACCTGTCTATCTGTGGTGCAGTGTCATTCAGTGTAAGGTAGTGTTGTGTAATGTAGTGAAGTGTGTTGGAAGGTGGTGTAGTGTAGTGTAATGTAGTGTAGTGTAGTGTAATTTAGTGTAATCGAGTGTAGTGGAGTGTAGTGGAGTGTAGTGGAGTGTAGTTGTAGTTGTAGTTGTAGTTGTAGTGTAGTTCAGTGTAGTGTAGTGTAATGTAGTGAAGTGTAGTGGAAGGTAGTGTAGTGTAGTGTAATGTAGTGTAGTGTAGTGGATAGTGGAGTGTAGTGTAGTGTAATGTAGTGTAGTGTAATTTAGTGTAGTGGAGTGTAGTGGAGTGTAGTTGTGTAGTTGTGTAGTTGTGTAGTTGTGTAGTTGTAGTGTAGTGGGGTGTAGTGTAGTGTAATGTAGTGAAGTGTAGTGGAAGGTAGTGTAGTGTAGTGTAATGTAGTGTGGTGCAGTGTAGTGGAGTGTAGTGTAGTGTAATGTAGTGTAGTGTAATTTAGTGTAGTGGAGTGTAGTGGGGTGTAGTGGAGCGTAGTGGGGTGTAGTGGAGTGTAGTTGTGCAGTTGTAGTTGTAGTGTGTAATGTAGTGAAGTGTAGTGGAGTGTAGTGTAGTGTAATGTAGTGGAGTGGAAGGTAGTGTAGTGTAGTGTAATGTAGTGTAGTGTAGTGTAATGTAGTGTAGTGTAATGTAGTGTAGCGTAGTGGAGTGTAGTGTAGTGTAATGTAGTGTAGCATAGTGTAATTGAATGTAATTGAGTGCAGTGTAGTGTAGCGGAGTGTAGTGTAGTAGAATGTACTGAAGGTGTAGTTGTAGTTGTAGTGTAATGTATTGGAGTGTAGTGTGGTGTAGTGGTGGTTGTACTCATCGCCACCGAAGGTCCCCCAACGTTGCAGTCAGGTGTCATTCCCGCATGGAACTACGTCCCCCAACTGCCAGGAAAAGTCACCCCAACTTCTTCGCCCATTGTAAACGCAGCACGAAAATGAAAAAGTACAAAAAAACTACCATCCCAAATGTGCAAAACACAATCAGAACGCAAGTCACCCCAATGGTTTTAAACTATGGAAAATGATCAACAAAACGATATATTTTGATAGCCAAACACCATGTGAACGCATGATTCATGTATGTTTGGGTAGAATATCTCTTTTGTTACAAAACGCATCTAATTCGAATGTTAAAAGTGTAACAAGTACATCTAAGAAATGTCATCTTTTGGATCAAAACACAATGTGAACGAATGATTCATGTATGTTTTGGTATGTTTTGGTAACAAATCTATGGGGTTCTGATTTACATCTCAACTCAATATTTCCGCAACGGGTTCCGAGCGAGGCCAAAAACGAGGCCAAAACGAGGCCAAAACGAGGCCCGAACGAGGCCAGAAAATAGTTTTGGAACCCCTCAGCTTTAGCAGCAGTACCACCAGCCCGGCAGCAAGTCTCTATAGCAGGAGTCTAGAAGCAGTCTGGCAGCAGCTCAGCACCGCAGCCATTTAGCATCAGCCCGACAACAGCCTAGCTGCAGGCCAGCATCTACTGTAATTAGATGAATCGATGCAACTACTCTAGAAAGGCACCACCCCCGGCAGCGCGACATGTAAACACGTGACTGGATTTGCTTGAAGGTCACATGAATGAGCCAGGCATGACAAAAAACAAGTTCACCAGTGTAAACACAAGCTAAATGAAGCAAAATTTACTTCTAAAGCATCGTTTTCTATCTTACGCAACTGATCCACAGCAAGTAAACGCATGTTGGGGCGACTTTCCCGGGAAGTCCCCCCCAACTAAACGCAAGATTTTGGATCGGGCGGGGTGAGTTCACTATAGGTGAGTAGTTGAAAATGTTACAAAACCCTCACGTTTTGGTCACTTTTGACAAGGTGCACAATCCCCTGCGCCTGCCACGCGAAATGACATCTGAACCTGCAAAAAGTGGCGCGAACATGTAGTGCTTTGTACATTTTGACTTCGAAATGTGCTTCGCGCCACAACGGCGTGCACTTTTTCGACATCTCAACCGCCAAAAGTGGTCCGAGAATGGTGTGTTTTGTACATGTTCACTTCGAAATGTGCTTCGCGCCACAACGGCGTGCACTTTTTCGACATCTCAACTGCGCCCCTAGTGTTTTGTACATTTTGACTTGGAAATGTGCTTCGCGCCACAACGGCGTGCACTTTTTCGACATCTCAACTGCCAAAAGTGGTCCGAGAATGGTGTGTTTTGTAATTTTGACTTGGAAACGTGCTTCGCGCCACAACGGCGTGCAATTTTTCATCTCTCATCTGGCCAGCTGGCTCCGCACCCGCCGCTTTAGCGAGCCTACTTTTCGACCCTCCGGAGCCCCAAATCATTGGAAAAACACAGTGTTTCGCGACTTTCCTACCTTTTCTCGCATCTGCATCTTCTGTCTTCTTACTCTTTCTCCTCTACTCTTCTTTCTTCTAATCTTTCTCTTCTCTCTGCCTCTTCCCTGCTCTGCTTTTCATCTGTCCATATTGTCGGAAGTTTGACTTCTAAACTTCCTTCGATTAAGGTTTTAAATTTATTAATAGGGTCCGCTTCAAAATCAAATTTTTGGCAATATTTTAATTGCGTTATAAAAAGAAATTTCATTGATTTTGAAATTTATCAAACTAGTTTTTATTATGAAGGCTCTAAATTTATTAATAAGGTCCGCTTCGAAATCCAAGTTTTGGCAGTATTCTCATTGCGTTATATAAGGAAATTTAATTGATTTTGAAATCGAGCAAACCAATTTTTTGTTATTAAGGTTTTAAATTTATTCATAGGGTTCCCTGATAATAAATACCACCCTAATAATAAAAACTACCTGAAGTGTTTATTTTTTTTGGGGGGGGTTTAGTATTAAGGGGTAGGGATTTATACCATTCCTGTGTACAGAGTTTCGTCTTTTTCATCTGCTGATATATATATATATTCTTTGGCGAAGAGATGACATCATATTTGTCTCCACATGTTTCCCGCCGAGCAGATAATTTCTGATGCCAATGAAGTTTTTACCAAGTCCGAATTTTGTCCACTGTCCGCTTGAATGAACGACCTTGGGAGATCCGAATTTCATCCGTGTATTCCGTGTTTTGGTCCATTGTTTTTCGTCTGACCTGAATTTCTGAATCTTGCACCTACGTTTGGAGAGAACTTTTCACCGATAGAGCATTTTGCCGTGATCGACCGTGCATTGCGCACCATTGTCGAAAAATAATGTGCAATCCGCTGTTTTTCACTTCGACATCTCTTTAGGACATTGTGTCGCAATCAATTTCGCTAGCGCTTCCTCATTTTGTATAGAATCCACTGCACTCTCTCTGCTAGTTTTGCTGATTAGCCAACGTGTAATCTAGTTTACTGGCTAGAACTCTTACTCTCAATTGGGTATGACAATGCGTAGTGCGTGTGAATTTGTGCCTGTGTTTTTGTTTTGGACCCGACCCTACCAGGGCATAGCATGAGTACTGAGCACAGCGTATGTATGTATGTATGTATGCATGCATGCATGCATGTATGTATGTATTTATTGATTTATTGATGTATTGAAATGATTGTATTGCTCAAGCTGGCTGAGATTGAGCACGATCTCAGCAGAGTCCGAGAGACCTTCGTCGCTTGCTGGGGCGTTCCCCTTCCACTGCAGCTGGGCGCTTCCGCTCGCCGCTCTGCGGCTCATCCATCGCATCGGTGCAAACCCACGAGGAAAGGTGTCAGCGACTGGTGCCCAGCCCTGATGCCACAACCGCAACCGTTAACCGCCCTTGGATCCTTATCCTTAACTATCCTCAACTATCCTTGACCAGCCTTACACCTTCTTACCCATCATTAACCATTCCTTAAGCAACTTGACATTTTTTTCCAACTCCTTGGAAAGCTTTGCAACTTGATATGATATGATGTGGGACTTTTCCATTCCGTTTGGAGGTGCTCAATCAGGAGGAATCCCCCACAGGTTTTAAGTCCAACGGCGTAGTGACTGTGATGCATAGCAAGGCTACTGCCTAACGGAAGTTTAACTCCCAACACCTATATATCTTTTGTCTGATGTTTGCGAGCACTTTAGTGTATTTGTAGGGGGTCCTCTTCGGCCCCTTTGCTGCTCGCCAACATTTCCAGAGCCAACGCTTGCATCACTTCCAACTCCAAAAAGCACATCCACATGCTCTAGCTGTACTCTGAGAGGTCGCACCCAGCCAACAGCAACTGCGTCACTACGTGGCCAGGCTATGTCAGGCTTCAGTTATTGAACATGGTGACACTGCTGCGCGCTCCAAGTAACTACTTCACTTAAAGGGCATTCTAACAAACAAGGCCACAGCCCATCAACCTTTCACAGTGAACATGTGCAATATGAGGGATGGCAGCAGTCAGCATGTTCAGCCCTTGGTTTCCGCTACCATCCACTACCAGGATTGCAGCCTTTTAGAGCCTGCCTGTCGTGACACTACATACACACTATACACACTGTGTATATATATATATATTTATTTATTTATTTACAGTGTCCTGCCAAGTCGTCAGAGTAATAGACTCATGTGAACACGCCCAACCAGCAATAAGTGCCTCAAACAACTCGTCCTGCTTCACTTCTAGAGACAGAGCAGTCATGCCAAACCGAACCCAAGCAATCTCACATTTTTTCAGTACGGGTGGTTTGTCGGAAAAATATTCATTGCACGAACGCAACTATGCAATGGTGACATTCTCCTGTAATCTTCTGACCACAACGGAGCTCGAAGGCGAGCTGGCTCGCAAGGCTATGATTCACATGGGCCTTAGACAGTCAATGCCTTTGAGGGCGACGATCACTTGCAAAATAGGTCTTCCCTCTAATTCGTTCAGGTTGCTGAGCCGCTGAGCATGAGAAAAAAATGCGGGCAGTGGACAGAATCTGCGATGGCACCATCAGTCTTAAGCATCCAAGTTGTTTCTCTCTGGTTGTCTTCTGCATGTTTCGACCATATTTGCACTTTTGAGCTTTGCTTTTTCCTGGGGTCTTTTGAAATTTTCTTCGTGGACTTCCCGCTGACCTTCTTTTGCACCTGTGAGATTGGATCATCATATGGCAACGAGTGCCTGGATCAACTCGCATGGCGTCAGTCTATTCTAAGGCTGCCATTGCTGAAGAATGCAAATAGAAGGGACGCATTTTGAAGCTTGATCTTGCCAATGACTTATCAAAGCCCCTGACACAAGCACGAGGATCACCAACAACATTCCGCACAATGTCCACCAGCTCCGAAAAACTGGTTTTGTTCAAGTCTTGCCGCATGTTCCAGGATACAAACTCTCGGCTACATACTGTATATACATGTATATACTCCTGCTGGCCCACTTTGTCCTTCTCGTCAGCCCAGATTGGCCTTCGGTAGTTTCCTTGTGGTCTGCTGCCTTTTTCCACACAGGAATCACCAACATTGCTTCAGCGTGCTGGCAAACCTTGAAAGGAATGGAATCCTCAAATTGAAGACAAATGTACAAATTAGAATTGGAAAGTCTTCGCTGTGCGTGCCTTCGAATTGGAAGTGACAGCGCCAAACTTATATATATATATAGAGAGAGAGAGCTGTTTCTACATGTTCCATTTTGAACAGCGCAGGCGATTCCATTGCAACAGTCTGGAACTGGCACCAATCCTGAAATGCACCAGCTCCTCCATCTTTTGATAATGTCATGAAAAAATGTTTCGGTCTGAAAGGCTGTGACATCTTCGCTGGAAGAGGCCGTGACGTTCAAAGCTAGGTCACAGTTGTCAAAGCAAGAATGGGCAGCATGGGCCCTTTCACGACAAGTTTCAGCAGAAGTTACACCGTCCAAGATCTTGATCAGCGCGCCACCCATGTGGTGACAACAACGTTGCAGTAACAAGCATGAAGTTTGACCATGCAATTGTTTCGCTCCATCCTCTGTGATCATCGTAGAATGTTCCTCCTGTGGAAATGATGCACGAACTTGGAAAGGAGGAGGGGCAGAAAACAGCAAAACAGTTTGAACTTGAAACTTGCTAAACTGGAAGTGACTATGACTATGGTGACTGGAACAATGAGTTCAAGTCTTTTCCTTGCACGTCTTGCGCACCAAGCCTTGTTGGGTAAAGCAAGGAAATCAAAGTTGACACAAAGCTGCCTGAAACAAATCCGGCAACAAACGCATAGCCCTTCACGATGGATTTCATCCGCTCCCCACAGTCTGCGTGGCAGAAAGGGCTTGGCGGAGAAGCTGCTGCAAAACGCTGGCCGCAAGCTTTGGCTGCCGATACATACCTTGCCGCGGCAAGAAGAAGGGCTGAAAAGAAAGCTACAGTGGAACGTGATCAACGCACAAGTGTCGCAGCCTAAATTAGCCTGGCATGGCCTGACAGCCTGAACGTCCCAATATTGCTTTCCATATGACAACCTTGTGCTCCTTACTTTCTGTAAGCCAGGACTCTAGCAGGCTCCAGCAAACTCTAGCAGCAACAAACTTAGGAGACCAATGTAGACCATGGAGATCCTGGAAGCCAAGATTCTCAGCACCCCTTTGTTGTTGAGTCCTCTGGGCCGATGCCGTTCATCACTCACAGCGCGGTCAACAGGAATATCCGCGAACTGCCATAAAGCAATTCCTGCAGCTTGGCCAAAAAAAATTGGACTGTGAGACCATGCTGAGTTTGAGGCATCTTAGGGCTAGGCGGCTAGATTGTGGGGCCTGAGGCCGCTCTCATCTTCCCAGATGAGCCCGGGTCCCGGTCCTGCAATGCCTGGATTTTGGGTGACAGCCTCCAAATGCGTTTTCAGAAGCAAAGCCTGATATTCTTCGGTCCACTTTTGCTCCACTGCCCCACGAAAACCATACAAGCCACCAGCACCAGCTTCCTCGCAGAGAAAGCCATGGAATGAGTTGACAAAGCCAAATAATGTTCAACAGATTGCCGCACAGGAATTGGTAAATGCCCATCACTTTCATCGGGTTTTGGTTCCAAAAAGGTGGACTTGTCAGCCCTCAACGTGGACAGTGCACTGCAACTCTGCACTCAATCTGCGGTCCGTAGCAAGCATAGGCTTATCTGCTACGTGCACTGACCACTGCCGGACTTGTTCCCACACTCCCGGAATACCGCGAACTTCCTCCAGAAGCAAGGTAATGACCTCTAACACATCTCTAGACTTATACAATCTGAAACCGGTGTGATGAAGCTGACTGGCAAACCATGGAGCACAAACTGTGGGCTGATGAGGCACTCTAAAATGTTGGCCCTTCTCTCTTTCGTTTATTAAACCCCTGGGTGCTGCACGTCGCTAGAGTTGGCCTCTTCATCGGCCAGCCGTGTTGTGGGATACCATGCAAGATAAAGATGGAAGGAGTGCACGTCCACGGCAGCTAGCTGCCTATCCTGCGTGCATGTCCGTGACCTCGACCCTGCCGCAACCAATGCAGCGCCCTTCAATGGGCTGGCCACCATCCAACATGCGTACATTACCAGTAGTACCGCGCAAGGCGGCGGCGGAAGTTTCAGAAATAGGAAACCTATAGGAAAGGTTGGTTGTTGTGAATCACTGATGGCAGAGCGAAGCCACTGATGGACCGACAGGTGGTTGAGGTCTCCTCTCTTTCTCTTTCTTTCTTTCTTTCTTTCTTTCTTTCTTTCTTTCTTTCTCTTTCTCTGACTATCTACCTATTTATCTATCTATGAATCTATCTAGCTATCAACCTATCTATCTATCTATCTAGCTAGCTATCAATCAATCTATCTATCAACCTATCTATCTATCTATCCATCTAGCTAGCTATCAATCAATCAATCTATCTATCTATCTTTCTATCTATCTAGCTAGCTATCTATCTAGCTCTTTAGCTCTCTAGCTCTCTAGCTATCTAGCTATCTGTCTATCTATCTCTGTCTATCTATCTATCTACCTACCTATCTATCTATCTATCTATCTATCTATCCCTATCTATCTCTATCTCTATCTCTCTATCTATCTATCCATCTATCGATCGATCGATCGATCTATCTATCTACATCTATCTACATCTATCTACATCTACCTGCATCTACCTGCATCTATCTACATCTATCTACATCTATCTACATCTATCTACATCTATCTACATCTATCTACATCTATCTACATCTATCTACATCAATCTCCATCTATCTACATCTATCTCCATCTATCTACATCTATCTACATCTATCTACATCTGTCTACATCTATCTACATCTATCTACATCTATCTGCATCTATCTACATCTACCTACATCTATCTACATCTATCTACATCTATCTACATCTACCTACATCTACCTACATCTACCTACATCTATCTACATCTATCTACATCTATCTACATCTATCTACATCTACCTGCATCTATCTACATCTACCTACATCTGCCTACATCTATCTACATCTGTCTACATCTATCTACATCTATCTACATCTATCTACATCTATCTACATCTATCTACATCTATCTCCATCTATCTACATCTATCTACATCTATCTACATCTATCTACATCTATCTACATCTATCTACATCTATCTACATCTATCTACATCTACCTGCATCTATCTACATCTATCTACATCTATCTACATCTATCAACATCTACATACATCTATCTACATCTATCTACATCTATCTACATCTGCCTACATCTATCTACACCTACCTACATCTACCTACATCTACCTACATCTACCTACATCTACCTACATCTATCTACTTCTATCTACATTTATCTACATCTACCTGCATCTATCTATATCTATCTACATCTGTCTACATCTACCGACATCTATCTACACCTATCTACGCCTATCTACACCTATCTACATCTATCTACATCTACCTACATCTATCTACATCTATCTACATCTATCTACATCTATCTACATCTATCTACATCTATCTACATCTATCTACACCTATCTACATCTATCTACATCTATCTACATCTATCTACATCTATCTACATCTATCTACATCTATCTACATCTATCTACATCTATCTACATCTATCTACATACTACACTATCTATATCTACATCTATCTACCTACATCTATCTCTACCTACATCTACCTACATCTACATCTATCTCTACATCTATCTACATCTGTCTACATCTGTCTACATCTATCTACATCTATCTACATCTATCTACATCTACCTACATCTATCTACATCTATCTACATCTATCTACATCTATCTACATCTATCTACATCTATCTATCTACTATCTACCTACATCTATCTACATGCATCTATCTACATCTATCTACATCTATCTACATCTACCTACATCTATCTACATCTATCTACATCTATCTCTATCTATCTACATCTATCTACATCTATCTATCTATCTACATCTATCTATATCTATCTATCTACATCTATCTACATCTATCTACATCTATCTACATCTATCTACATCTATCTACATCTATCTATCTAGCTATCATCTAGCTAAGCTAGCTATCTGTCTATCTATCTTTCTACCTGTCTACCTATCTATATCTATCTATATCTATCTATGTCTATCTATATCTATCTCTATCTATCTCTATCTATCTATCTATCTAATCTACTCTAATCTAATCTAATCTATCTATCTAATCTATCTATCTATTTATCTATCTATCTATCTATCTAGCTAGCTACATCTATCTATCTGTCTGTCTATCTATCTACCTATCTACCTATCTACCTGTCTACCTATCTACCTATCTACGTATCTACCTATCTATCTATCTATCTATCCATCTAATCTATCTAATCTATCTAATCTATCTATTCTATCTATCTATCTATTTACCTATCTAGCTACATCTAGCTACATCTATCTAGCTACATCTATCTAGCTACATCTATCTATCTATCTATCTATCTATCTAATCTATCTAATCTATCTAATCTATCTAATCTATCTAATCTATCTCTATCTAGCTACTATCTATCTAGCTACATCTATCTAGCTACATCTATCTATCTATCTATCTATCTATCTCTATCCCTCTATCTATCTATCTATCTACAGATCTATCGATCTATCTATCTACATCTATCTATCTATCTACCTGCATCTATGCATCTATCTACATCTATTTACACCTATCTACATCTATCTACATCTATCTACATCTATCTACATCTATCTACATCTATCTACATCTATCTACATCTATCTACATCTATCTACATCTATCTACATCTATCTATATCTAATATCTATCTATCTACATCTATCTACATCTATCTACATCTATCTACATCTATCTACATCTATCTACATCTATCTACATATCTATCTATCTACATCTATCTACATCTATCTACATCTATCTACATCTATCTACATCTATCTACATCTATCTGCATCTATCTACATCTATCTACATCTATCTACATCTATCTACATCTATCTACATCTATCTACATCTATCTACATCTATCTACACCTATCTACATCTATCTACATCTATCTACATCTATCTACATCTATCTACATCTATCTACATCTATCTACATCTATCTACATCTATCTACATCTACCTACATCTATCTACATCTATCTACATCTATCTACATCTATCTACATCTATCTACATCTATCTACATCTATCTACATCTACCTACATCTACCTACATCTATCTACATCTATCTACATCTATCTACATCTACCTACATCTACCTACATCTATCTACACCTACCTACATCTATCTACATCTATCTACATCTACCTACATCTACCTACATCTACCTACATCTATCTACATCTATCTACATCTATCTACCTCTATCTACATCTATCTACATCTATCTACATCTATCTACATCTATCTACATCTATCTACATCTATCTACATCTATCTACATCTATCTACATCTATCTACATCTATCTACATCTATCTACATCTATCTACATCTACCCACATCTACCTACATCTACCTACACCTACCTACATCTACCTACATCTAGCTACATCTACCTACATCTATCTAAATCTATTTACATCTGTCTACATTTTTTCTATCTATCTATCTATGTACCTATCTATCTACATCTATCTATCTAATCTAATCTAATCTAACCTAATCTAATCTATCTATCTACCTATCTATCTATCTATCTATCTAGCTACATCTATCTGTCTGTCTGTCTATCTATCTACCTATCTATCTATCTATCTACCTATCTACCTACCTACCTACCTACCTATCTATCTATCTATCTAATCTATCTATCTATCTAATCTATCTATCTATCTATCTATCTAGCTACATCTATCTAGCTACATCTATCTAGCTACATCTATCTATCTATCTATCTAGCTATCCATCTAGCAAGCTAGCTATCTGTCTATCTATCTTTCTGTCTGTCTACCTACCTACCTACCTATCTATGTCTATCTATCTCTCTCTATCTATCTCTATCTCTATCTCTCTATCTATCTATCTATCGATCGATCTATCTATCTACATCTATCTACATCTATCTACATCTATCTACATCTATCTACATCTATCTACACCTATCTACATCTACCTACATCTATCTACATCTATCTACATCTATCTACATCTATCTACATCTATCTACATCTACCTACATCTACCTACATCTGTCTACATCTATCTACATCTGTCTACCTCTATCTACATCTACCTACATCTATCTACATCTATCTATATCTATCTACATCTATCTACATCTATCTACATCTATCTACATCTATCTACATCTATCTACATCTATCTACATCTACCTACATCTATCTACATCTATCTACATCTATCTACATCTATCTACATCTATCTACATCTATCTACATCTACATCTATCTACATCTATCTACGTCTGTCTACATCTATCTACATCTGTCTACATCTCTCTACATCTATCTACATCTATCTACATCTATCTACATCTATCTACATCTACCTACATCTATCTACATCTATCTATCTACATCTATCCTACATCTATCTATATCTATCTACATCTATCTATCTATCTATCTACATCTATCTACATCTATCTACATCTATCTACATCTATCTACATCTATCTACATCTATCTACATCTATCTATCTGTCCATCCATCTATCTATCTATGTATCTATCTATCTATCTATCGATCTATCTATCTATCTACATCTATCTATCTATCTGTCTGTCTATCTATCTATCTATCTACCTATCTACCTATCTACCTATCTACCTATCTACCTACCTACCTACCTATCTATCTATCTATCTATGTATCTATCTATCTATCTGTCTGTCTATCTATCTATCTATCTGTCTGTCTGTCTATCTATCTGCGAGCTTGAAAACGAAGCTATTCTGCGAGACCTCCTCAGTGTTTGAACTTGACAACCTCAAAAATGCAGCAATTCCGCGAGACTTCCTCAACTTTTGAACTTGACAACGTCAAACACGAAACTATTCGGCGAGACTTCCTCAAATTTTCAAATTGACAACATTAAAAGAAGCAATTCTGCGAGACTTCCTTCAAAAATAGGAAGTTGAGTGCAGAGCTGACGGCCTCGTACCAATGCATTTTGCAATTTTTCCACTCCATCCGTCTAAAGTGCTGCGCCTGCCAGGAAAAAGTGACACCAGGTCATATGAAGTGCTGCACCTGTCACGCGAAACCATCTTAGCAAACCTGAACACCTGATGCTCCAAACGCAGCCCCTCTCAGGAAATCAGCGCCCTGACCTCCTAACATCTCTGATGAACATGTCTTTTGTACTGCGCCTCCCACGCGGAATGCATCTCTCCAGATCCTCTTCAAATGCCCCACGCCTGCCATCGGTTTTGGAAATGCTACAACACTCACGTTTTGCTCATCTTTGGCAAGGTGCAGAATCCCTTGTGCCTGCCACGCAAAACGACATCCGAACGTCCGAAAATGCCCCGATCCCCTCATTTTTTCCACTTTTGACTTGGAAATGTGCTTCGCGCCACAACGGCGTGCACTTTTTCGACATCGGAACTTCCAAATGGCGCGAACATGTGGTGCGTTTAACATTTTGACTTCTAAATGCGCTTCGCGCCCACAACGGCGTTCACTTTTTCGATATCGTAACTGTAACTGCCAAAAGTGGTCCGGACCGTGCTGTATACATTTTGACTTCGAAATCTGCTCCGCGCCACGGCGCGCACTTTTTAGACATCTCAACTTCCAAAAGTGGTCCGAACGTGAGGTGTTTTTAGCTTTTCCAGTTGCAAATGTGCTTCGCGCCACAACGGCCTGCACTTTTTCGACATCTCAACTGCCAAAAGTGGTCCGAGAACGGTGTGTTTTGCACATTTTGGCTTGGAAATGTGCTTCGCGCCACAACGGCGTGCAATTTTTCATCTCTCATCTGGCCAGCTGGCTCCGCACCCCCGCTTTAGCGAACCTACTTTTCGACCCTCTGGAGCCACCAATCATTGGAAAAACACAGTGTTTCGCAACTTTCCTACCTTTTAGCGCATCTGCATCTTCTTTCTTCTGACTTTCTCTTCTCTGATCTTCTCTCTTCTGCGCTTCTCTTCTCTATTCCTCTGCTCCACCTCTGCTTTTCATCTGTCCATATTGTCGGAAGTTTGACTTCTAAACTTCCTTCGATCATACATTCATATATACCGCAAGAGAGGGAGAGAGAGACACACAGACACACAAAAAAACAAATAACACACACAGCCACACACACACGTACATATCTATCCATATATACTATATATATATATTTATTTATTTAATTTTATTTATGTATTTATTTATTCATATATATATATACATATATATATACATATATACATATATATGTATATATATGTATACATACACATATGTACATATTATATGTATTATATACATATATATCAGGTGTATACTGCAGTGCAGACGTTTCAATCATACCCTACTTCAGTGCCGAAGCATTCCGAGTATGCATCAGGTGCACAAGATGGACTCCAGGTTCTGTTCCCCTGAATATATTGTGCAGATTCTCTGCCCTTAAAATCCTTAAGTCACGCAGTTGTGAATCACTCCCCACATCGTCAACAAGCTCAATCCTCGCCAGCATGGTTGGATCCGTATCCGATAAGCCGAGTGTTGCCTGAATGCCTTGCAAGGATGGCGCTGCTGGGTTTCTCCATGTTTCTCCTACCTCCAACCCTGAAAAGATCTGACAGCACATGCAGCATGCGGCGCCATGTTTTTGATGCACATGAAGCTCTCCACATGGCAAACCCTAGGGTGCTGTGAAAGGCCAAACCCTGCCTCCGCAGTTGTTCAGCCATGGCATGGTACAGTGTTGTCGTTGGCTCAGAGTCATCGAATGATTCCCCTTCGTTGAAAAAGCCAAAGATGATGACCTGATGGGCAAGAGAAATCTACCCAAGGAGGGGAACCACACGACCCAAACAGGAACCGGCGCCACCTATTTGACCTATCTTTCGCGTTAGTGAACCAACCCTTCAGGGATGCAGCCCATGCTGAAACATTCCGCAAATATTCCTTGAAATTGAGGCAGCCGGAACCAGATAAATCAAGACAAAGCATGACAGAACAATCTAGCTTGCAAGTGCCTGTAGCATCTTGTAGCAGCAGCTTGTGCCTAGCATCATCCTTTTCAACAGCTCCACCTTTCAGATCCTTTCAGTCATGCGCATCCGTCCCCAGCAAATTCCTTTTGCAGCCGAAGTCACACAAGGATGGTTTGCGGAGGTGGTAGCTAGCTCTTGGGCCATGCCTCGCTGTCAGGATCAATGCCATTGGCCAAAGGACTGTCTAATTCCAATGGCTACAGTAGGGAGTAACGGTTGAACCCTTGAACAGTTCTTGCCAAGCTGCGGAGGCTTTGGATCACGAAAGTCGGATTAGCAAAGTCCGCCACAGTGTTTTGCCATCCAAGCACTTCCTTGGCAAGCGTATTTCCTACGGTGGTGAGGGCAGTAGGGCAGACTGGTTCTAGTTCACCTGCCTCTGAGCACTTTGACCAAAACACGCCAAAACTGCACCAAGAATCCTCCCAAACCAACAGTCCATAGACATCACATAGATCCAGAAAGCGCTGGTCTTGCGCGTAATGTGCTCCACGGACAAAATTGGCACCCAACTCAATCAGGAAGTGAACATCTGCAACTAGAGCATCATAAGTCATCACCTCGGCGATGCAGCTTGGCTTAGCAGGGCCTTTCAGCAACCAACTCACAGGACAAGAATGGTTTCACAATGCGGAGCTCTTTCTTGTCAGGTGCGCAAACATAATCAAACATAAAAGCCTGTCCGTCAATATCATCAATCCTCTCCCGCGTTTGTGATGACGCAGTACAAAAGGGATGTGGGTTTCCTTCTCCTTGTTTTCGCCTACGGCGAGGGTGGGAAGGGGTGGAGTGGGGTGGGGGCTGTAAGAACGTTCTGTTGCATTTGCACCCTCAAATGGCGCTAGGTTAGAGATGGGGTTGCGGGGTGGGGTGGGGTGGATGCAATACTGTTTTTTTTTGGTAAGTTGCACGCTACGCTACAACTTACCGATCAACTTTGTGTGATACAAACACCCATGTGAATGAACGGTTGCGCCAAATGGTTTTGAGTTTCATGCGCAAACACAATGCCGGCGGGGATATTTGGACAGCACTTGGCAAATTTTGCAAAAAATGAAGAAATTAAAAGAGCAATTTGCGAGGGGAACACGAAAGGTAGGTGATCAAGAAGGGGAAGCAAAGCCTCTCCGTCTAAAAGCTGGCTGTGTGTAAAAGCGTGATGTGTGCACAAGCTTGTGTGTAAAAGTTTTCTGAGTAAAGGCATCTGTGTGTAAAAACGTCTGTGTAAAAACTGCTGTGCATAGAGACTTCTGTGCGTAAAGGCTTCTGTGCGGAAAAGTTTCTGTGTGTAAAAAGCTGCTCTGGGTAAAGTTTCTGCGTGTAAAAGTTTCGGTGTGTAAACAACTTGTTTGTGCAGTCTGTGTGGACAAATTTTTCTGTGTCAAAGTTTTCCTGTGTAAAAGTTTCTTTGTGTAAAAGTTGTTCTGTGCAATTGTTTCTCTGTGCCAAAGGTTCTGTGTGTAAAAGCGCTTGTGTGCCTTTATGCGTGCAAAAGCGTCTTTGTGCAAAGCATAGGTGTGTAAAAACTTCTGTGTGTAAAAAATTATTTGCGTAAAACCTCTGTGATCCTCTGTGTGTAAAGGCGTCTGCGTGTAAAAGTTTATCTGTGCAAACCTCTCTGTGTAAGAGTATCTGCGCATAAAAGCTGCTCTTTGTACAAGTTTCTGTGCGTAACGTCGTCTGCTTGTAGAAGCGTATCACAGTGCAAAATGCGTCACCACAGCCAAATCGTAAAAAAACACGTAAACGAAAGAATCCAAACTCAAATGTTTGCTGTCATTACGTTGTTGATGATGTCGGTGATGCGCGCAGGGCCCCACAAGGCGTCATTTTGGCTGTGTTAAGCCAATTTTGAAGAAGCCCTCGGGACAAAAAACACCTCAAGTTTCCATGTTTTTGGCATCTCAGAGGCCAAAAACCACGGTACTGTTGTTGTTGTTGCTGTTGCTGTTGTTGCTGCTGTTGTTGCTGTTGCTGTTGCTGTTGCTGTTGCTGTTGCTGGTTGTTGCTGTTGCTGTTGCTGTTGCTGTTGCTGTTGCTGTTTGTTGCTGTTGCTGTTGCTGTTGCTGTTGCTGTTGTTGTTGTTGTTGTTGCTGTTGCTGTTGCTGTTGCTGTTGTTGTTGTTGTTGCTGTTGCCGTTGGTGTTGTTGCTGCTGCTGGTGCTGGTGCTGGTGCTGTTGCTGTTGCTGTTGCTGTTGCTGTTGTTGTTGTTGTTGTCGTTGTTGTTGTTACCGTTGCATTTTTTCTCAGTCTCGTGGTGGCCAAAAATCGTCGAATAGGTGGTGGTGTTTTCGCGTTTTTTTTTGAGACTCTCGGAGCAAAAAAACACCGTAAATACCGTGCCTCGGAAGGGGGGGAATATCTAAAATGAACAGCAACCTCCTGAATAATCAGGTAACTGGGCTGGCCACCCTCCCCTTTACTTTGTAAAGCAAAACTGTCAAGGTAGCACCACTAGAGCTATATACCTTTCGTGAAAAGCGCAAATGAGTCACGCCCCACAGTAATTCCATTGTGGTTGATCTTTTTCCTGTGCATGCCCCATTGTAACCGTGAATTCAATAATTTAACCTCTGAATGGTAAATGCCACCGTTTTGGCAAAAGTACCTTGGATGCAAATGCACATATCAAAATCCAACGCATCGTTCACCATGCCGTAGCCTTGTTTTCTCTCTTGGAAAGTTCTTATCGGATCGAACTCTGCAGGCTCTTTAACATCAAACTAACCACAGAGCAGGCCGGTCACTGCCTTGACTCTTTAGCTAACTGGTGGTTGCTCGCCTTCAATGCAATTAATTAATACCAGTAGTACTGCACAAGGCGGTGGCGGAAGTTTCAAAAATAGGAAACCTATAGGAGAGATTAGTTGTTGTGAATCAGGGATGGCAGAGCGAATCCACTGATGGACCGAAAGGTGCTTGAGGTCTCCTCTCTTTCTCCCTCTTTCTCTGACTATCTACCCACCTACCAACCTATCTTCTATGTATCTATCTATCTATCTCTCTCTCTCTCTCTTTCATCTAATTACCTATCTATCTATCTATCTATGTATCTATCTATCTATCTATCTGTCTATCTGTCTATCTATCTATCTATCTATCCGTCCGTCCGTCTGTCTGTCTGTCTGTCTGTCGACCTGTCTATCTGTGGTGCAGTGTCATTCAGTGTCATGTAGTGTAGTGTAGTGTAATTTAGTGTAGTGTAGTGTAATTTAGTGTAGTGGAGTGTAGTGGAATGTAGTTGTGTAGTTGTAGTTGTAGTGCTGTGTAATGTAGTGTAGTGTAGTGCAGTGTAGAGGAGTGTAGCGTAGTGTAATGTAGTGTAGTGAAGCGAAGCGACATCTGAACCTCCAAAAGTGGTCCGAACCCCTAGTGCTTTTAACATTTTGACTTCGACATGTGCTTCGCGCCACAGCGGCGTGCACTTTTCCCACATCGGAACTTCCAAAAGTGGCGCGAACATGTGGTGTTTTGTACATTTTCACTTCGAAATGTGCTTCGCGCCACAACAGCGTGCACTTTTCTGACATCTCAACTTCCAAAAGCGTTCCTGTTTTGTACATTTTCACTTCGAAATATGCTTCGTGCCACAACGGCGTGCACTTTTTCGACATCTCAACTGCCAAAAGTGGTCCGCACCTGGTGTGTTTTGTACATTTTGACTTGCAAACGTGCTTCGCGCCACAACGGCGTGCAATTTTTCATCTCTCATCTGGCCAGCTGGCTCCGCACCCGCCGCTTTAGCGAGCCTACTTTTCGACCCTCCGGAGCCTCAAATCATTGGAAAAACACAGTGTTTCGCGACTTTCCTACCTTTTCGCGCATCTGCATCTGCTTTCTTCTGATCTTCTCTCTTCTCTGATCTTCTCTCTTCTGCTCTCTCTCTTCTCTCTGCCTCTTCCCTGCTCTGCTTTTCATCTGTCCATATTGTCGGAAGTTTGACTTCTAGATTAATTACACGAACTGAACAAGATTGCTCACAGAAAGCCATTCTGAAAGGAACAGGGACAAATCCTTTGCTCATCTATGGTCATTGAAAGCCTCATGTGGTGCGTATCACACTCTGGGGAGTTTTCTCTGCCGAAGCGCAGGTGAGTCCAGCAAGTCATGGCGGTTGAATCCGAGAAGTTTCAACGGGACTCCGTTCAACAAGATGTTGCTTCCCTGGGTTTCCACTACTCGGAGCCCAAAACGCACCACGACACAGTCAAGGATAAAACTGCTGCCTTCACTTGTCCTGAGTAAAAAGGACAAAAAAAAACAAGCGCAAACCAGACAAGAACAAAGAATCAGACAGGAACCAAGACAGTGGCAAATATACCGGACTAGAACGCGCAAAGCTTCCTCTGCAGCGAGCTTGTCCTTCTCACCTTTTCAACAAAAAGTTTTTTTTAAAAAACAATTACCTTCAAAGCTAGAAATTTTGATATGTGGCTTGAGAATACTTTTGAATTGAAAATGAGGGCCCAGCTGATCGTCTGTTCGTCCGAGAGCACCCATTTCTTCGCGAGAGAAAAAAAGACTTGCTGCATAGGATGCTGCTCAGCATCAAATCTTTTGCCACCATGGCAACTTTCAGATGATGCAGGTGAGGTGTGCTGGGAGACCATGGCTGCGCACCTGCCCAGATCTCTGAGAAAAATACTCAGCACCGAGGTGAATTTCTCTGTGCGTGCGTGCGTGCCTGCGTGCGTGCGTGCGTGCGGGCGTGCCGGCGTGCGGGCGCGCGAGCGCAAAGCGCAGACGTGCCGGAGTGCTGGCGTGCGGGCGTGCAGGTGTGCGGGATTTGTGCGGGCATGCGGGCGGGCGTGCGGGCTTGCGAGCGTGCGGGCGTGCGGGTGTGCGGGCTTGCTGTGCGGGCGTGCGGGTGGGCGGGCGGGCAGGTGTGCATGCGTGCGTGCGTGAGTGCGTGGGTGTGTTGTGTGTGTGTGTGAAATTTTGTAATTAGTCCCTTTGGCAAGCCATTGCCGCACCTGGAACTTCCACAGTTGCAAGGTGCCGTGCAGCTGCACTAATCACCGGCCACTCTTGTGCTTTTGTGCAGTCACCGGAGTCTCCAAATTCGTAATGATAGCTCAATCCTGCAACGCAGCACACTTCCTAGTCAACGTGAAGATACACCAACATCGCACTGGAAGGAAGGTGAGAGTGGAGACAAAGACATATTTAGAGACACTTGGACATGCTGATCAAGAACTCTCAGTTGATCTGCCACAACACCGTTCTTGGAGACACTCGGTTTTCAAGATGAGGAGCCTTCGAGATGTTCAGAAATCAAGAAGGCTAATGGGGCGGGCCACATATTGGAATGCTGGCACTTGGACCGGCTGGATGGACAGTGATGCAGAAACCTGGCAGAAACCTTGGTAACCTTGGCAGCAACCATGGCAGTGCGTCAGGCCCTTCCATCCGAGCGAACGATAAAACATGATAGATTGCTATATTGAAAACCACAAATTTATAGCCCGTGGCCACAACAAGCACCAACTTGTCCATAGCTGGAAAAGGAGTGCATGGAACAGCATGGAGACTGCAGTTGTTTTAAACTGGTTTTCTGTCTAGCGTGATACTTATTGGCAGGGAGGAGTATGGAGGTGACTAGAAGTTCCGTTTCGCCTAGGCTGCATTCTTCCATATTCTTCCCGCTGGCCTTCGTGATTCTCTGCTAAAGTTGATACTAGCAACTGGACCTCGACCGTTGTCAGTGACCGTGGACTAACCTCGGCGCACTCAGACTCCAAGATGCCATTGGGCATTTGAAACGCATTGTATATATAAATCGGTGCTGTTACTTGGCGTCACAGTGTCTCAAATGCCACAACATCTCAGAGCAGTTTCCTCCCCCAAATGCAAACAAACAAAAATGATGCAAACCACTTCTGAATGAACTGCAGGTGACTTGCACGGAAGTGAGAAACAGCGGAGTGCTTGAAGGAAGCTCGTGAAACCTTCAGTCTCATCTCGCGGGACAGATTATATACAGATCTTGGCCCCAGACTAGGTGGAACTGCTTCCTTGACTAGAAAACAGATGCATAAAAACGGCTGCAAGATATTACCCATCAGATCTGGCCATCTCTCTCTCTCTCTCGAGGGAAGAGCTGAAAGCTCCGACTTTGACTGGTTGTTACCCGAAAATCCAGAAACACTGAATAAACGAAAAGTATTTATGTAAGAATCGATAAGGTATGATCAACACGGGCAAACTGGCGCAAACTGGTTTGGAGTCGAGTCACTGCACAGGTCTCAGTAAGCCTCCAGCCTGGTACCAGTCGTACTTCGGCTGGTGCACCGGATGGGTCCTGGGCTCGGACCAACAAAGCGCGAGAATACACAACCGCAACACCGCAACGCGAATCACGAATGAGATATCGTTATAGCCATGTCATAGGCGTGTTACACACACACACATAGAGAGAGAGATAGATGTAGAGAATCCTCACACCAATAAAATCAGGAAGCAATACAAACGCAGATGTAAGAGACCGTCAGAGAGACCTTTTCCATTTTTTCAGGTTTAGCGAAGCCGAAACCCGAACTCTGGATCACTGACATCAAGCCTCTCATAGTTGAAGCGACTGTCAGCAAACACCAAAACCTCTCGCACTGGGCTTTCATCATGCCTGGCCGGGACCACTACCTCGAATGGTGATAGACCAGAATGATCTTCAATAACCTGGACTGGCTGCGTGCCAGCTCAAATGCAAGACTCTGAGTCGTCAACTGCACCGAGGGGATACCGCAGGAACAAGTCATTGACTACTACTAATAATAATGATAATAATCCAATAATAATCTGTGGTGTTCAAAGTTGCAGTCGGCCTAATCCCAATCCCTAATCCGTCCAATCCGCGTTTGCCACGGTAATCCGTTCAATCCGCAATCCCGTAAAATTGGTGGAATGTTACGCGCCAGGTTATTGAGCTCAAAAACTTTGGCGTTTTTATTATGATTCGCATGTGGGGACTAAAAAACTTACCCAAATGCGGTCTGGAATCTGAAAATGCTACTTCGGTGCTTTTTTCCATGTGAAGAAAAATAACTCCAAAAAGGCACTCCGTAAACCGTCTAATCCGCAATCCCCCGGGGGATTAGGATTGCCTTTGAACAGCCCAAATAATTAGTATTTACTTACATAACATTCCTGACACACATTACATACATGACACACATTACAGTTTCGTCAGAAGCAAGTTTCTACTGTAACACTTGGTCAAGTCATGAGCAGGCTTCTCCTTGCTACCATTGTTCGTTGAAGATGATAAAATCATGATTTAAAAAAATGTTCCCCCTTTTACTACATGTACCCCAAATATAAGTAGTACCGCACAAGGCGGTGGCGGAAGTTTCAAGGATAGGACACTATAGGAGAGGCGAGTTGTTGTGAACCAAGGATGGCAGAGCGAATCCACTGATGGACCGAAAGGTGGTTGGAGCTGTGCCTTTTGGAGTGGTTGCAATGGTTGAATAGGTCACCTCACTCACAACTCCTGGATGTAGCGTGGCGTAGTGCAGTAGTTGTAGTTTCAGTTGTAGTTGTAGTTGTAGTCGGGCTGATGTTGTTGAAGTTGTGATGTTGTTGTAGTCGTAGTCGAGGTGCAATACTTGAATAGTTGTGGGAGGTGTAGTTGTAGTTGCAGTCGAAGCTGCAGCTGTAGTGTAGTTGTAGTTGTAGTGCAGTTGCAGTTGTAGTTGCAGTTGTCGTTGTAGTGTGGTGTCGTGGTAATTGTAGTAGTAGTAGTGTAATTCAAGTTGAAGTTGAACTTGTAGTTGAAGTGTAGCTGTAGTGTAGCCGAAGTTGTAGTTGTACAGTAGTTTAGTTGCAGCTGTAGTTGCACTTGCAGCTGTAAGTGTGGTTGTAGTGGTTGTTGCAGTTGTAGTTGTAGTTCCAGTTGTAGCTGTAGTGGCATGTGTAATTCTAGTTGTAGTAGTTGTAGTTGAAGTTGTTGTTGTTACTAGTTGAAGTGTAGTTGAAGTTGTAGTTGTGGTTGTAGCTGTAACTCTTGTAGCTGAAGC